GTCATCAGAAGCAGAAGCTAGTTCTTGAGAATCATTTGAGGGCTAGTGAAACACATAAACCTAGGCTCTACCCAGGAGTTTTCAAATTGCAACACCCAGGGTGAAGCCTGAGAATTTGCACTTCTAACATATGCTCAGATGATAGAATGAAGTTGGTCCAGAGACCCAGGTTGAGAAGACTGCCTAAGGTCATGGGTGATTGGAGTTAACTCCATTTTCAAATGTCCCAACAAATTAGAGCTCAACAGCAAGGTTATCTATAATTTTGGACTTTTTCAATGTCAGCCAGCCTTTAAATATACTACAATGTGTATGTGGTTTAGCAACTTTATTTTTCTTCTTTTTTTCTGGTACTGGGGCTTAAACTCAGGGCTTCATGCTCTCAACTTCTTTGCTTAAAGCTGGCAATCTATCACTTAAGCCATGCTTTTACTTCTGCTATTTTTTTTCCCTGGTTATTTGGAGATCAGAGTCTCTTAGAGTTGTTTGCCCAGGTTGGCTCTGAACCTCAGGAGTAGCTAGGATTGTAGGTGTAAGACACTGATACCTGGCCAGGTTTAGCTCTTTGAAAGTGGGTTTTATTTAACAGATTGAGAAAGTAGCCCATGTGAGGGGTTTGACAGGGCTGGACTTGGAAATAACAGAGTGAGGGCTGGCCCTGTCTAGCTGACCTTTTTAATTTAATATAACCTGAGAATCTATAAGGTCTTCCCTCATATGTGAACTCCTGAGCATCCTGGGAGGCCACAGGACAGATGAGGGGCTTTCTGGGCTGAAAGTTGCTGGGCTCCCTGGATACCTGGGAGAGATGGTCCCAACGCAGCCAGCAGAGAAAGCTGGTGGCATGCTCTGTTGAGAACATGCACACATAGGGAACACTTTTTGACAAGTAGGACATACTTAATTAGCCACACCAAGGAGAGCTGGGTATGTCAAAACTGACTCGTGCTGTACTTCCAGTGGTTTTGAGCCTGAGAATAAGGTGATAGGTAATTTTTGAACTATGCGTAGTGACACTTGACTGAAGCTTCTCTCCTTGGGGAAGGTCCCTCCAAGAGCTCGAAGTGTGGATGGAACTGTTAACACAGAAGCCCTGGTCAGAGACAAGAGTAGGGGGCCTTGCTTTCCTGCCCTGACATCTTCAGCAGCACAAAAATATCATCATTCCTAAAGTGAGCCTAGGAGAAGCCGTACACATTTCCTAAGAAATAAGAGCAGTAAACCCCTGGGAGCAGCATGCCGTGGTACCATTAAGCAGGCTTGGTCTCCACAGAAACTGCCTCCATTCCAAATACCCACTTCCAGCATGAGCCATAGGAACAACACTGATGGGTTAATAGAAACCTGAATGCTGTCAGGAGCAAGGTAGGCGTGTGCGTCTTTTGCACATGGGTGGCAGGGGCTCTGCCTGGCACCTCAGCAGGGAGGGATGGGAAGCGCCTTGGATGTTGCAAGCCATGGAAGTTATAGCTTTTGCTCCCCATTCCCTTCTTCCCCTTGGCTTCGTACATTCTACCCAGGAACTAAAAGCTTGAATAGATCTGTTCAAGGGGCAAAATGGCCTTCCTGGTGGACTATCTCATCTGGGGTATGGTTCAGGGTGGGTGTCTGAGCTGTCATTTCTCTTCCTTCTTTAGTTTTCTGTGCCTGGAACCTTTCTTCTTACTGCTACCAGTAACAGAAAGACTCTGTTTTGGGAACTGGTTCCAGGGACATCAGGAAGATTGATTGCCCATGCTGCAATTCTGGCCCCTGGTGAGTGCTTGAATTCAATGTGGTGTTCGTGGGCCCATTCAACAGATAAGGGGATAGGGGGTGGGAGGAGAGACCAAGATTTCTACCCACAACTATGAGACCTAAATGGTGGCCTCTGCCTATTGGAGACCTCCAGGCCCAGCATAGTTCACCTAATAAGGGATAAAAATAGCACTATATGTGATCAGAAACCTGCCCTTGGGTCTGTCCCAACACTGTGGAGGCACTGGTGTTCTCTGCCTCCTCATAGTATAAGCTGACATAGGGGAAGTGTTGGTGGGCTACCCTTGTATCAGGTGACATTCCCAGATGGGCTAACCTGGGTGTCCTCCATGATAACTACACAGCCAGGCAGCATGGGGTCCCCAGGCATTTGATTCATCATGCCAAAACTTCCAGAAGCTCATTGTGGAGAGGTAGAATTCAAGAACTTCATAGCTGTGGCCACTAGCCTATGGAGAGTAGGTAAGAAAGACCCTGGTTCTGGTCCTAGCTGTGTCCCTTCCTTAATGATTATTCTGGGAAGGTAGCCCACTTCTGCCTGTGTGCCTCCTTCCCTTATCTGCTAATGACTTGTTGATCAGGCCAACCTTTAAGGCTCTGCCATGTCCTGCTCTGTGCTTTTGGTCCAAGTCCCCTGGATGTGCAGTACTGTAGTTACCTGGGCTATTATAGAGGATACTTCATCCCACTCAGTAGTGGGATTTGGGGTAGACATGCTGGTAGCCACCTCTGTCTCAATGGTGAAACTAAAGAAACCCAGCTTCCCCTTCCACCCATGTCAGTCACTGGTGCATTGCTTAGTTCCTGTTTCTCTTTGCCCACCCAGGAAGGCAATCTGTATGAAATCCTGAGCCCAGATGCTGGACTGTGAGCCACATTAGAAAATGCTAGCTCATAAGACACCCAACAGGAAGCAGGTTTTCCCAGCAGATTCATTAGGACAGTGCTTCCCAGAAACATATAGGCATTAAGAGTCCACCTCCCCAACTCTTAAAAAGCTCATTTTCTCATTAACAGGCAAATGGGACCTTGTAGAAAAATTAAAGGCTGCAGAAGTTTGTGTGACTCAACTAATTCATGTTAAAGACTTAAGAGATAAATGATAGAGTTTTAGAAAGAAAGAAAGGAAGGAAGGAAGGAAGGAGGGAAGGAAGGAAGGAAGAAAGGGAGAGAGAGAGAAAGAAAGAAAGAGAGAGAGAAAGAAAGAGAAAGAAAGAAAAAAAGAAAGAAAGAAATGAAGAAAAGCATCAGTAGACATTGTCACAATGGCCACGTGTCCTGAGAGCAGGGCCAGTCATGGGCCCAGGAGAAGTTTTGCAGCCCTGTGGTGAGCCTGTAGGAGGAGTGGGCCATGCAGACCTCACAGCTGGGCCATCTGTTCTCAGCAGCATTTCCTAATTCCATGCAGCAGAAGTTGGTAAAGGGCAGGGTACAACCAAGGGTTGTGGCCCATGTATGTTGGGAAGCACACAATAAGCAAATTGGAGCAGTTTTCTTTATTTCCTCCCTTCCCACGTCCTTTGTATGCCGCTGTGCATTGTGAAAAAAATCTCTAGGGGAAGGATGGCACTTTTCCAAGATCACACATCCTACTTTCCACTTTGCAGAAAATTTGTACTATTAACCAAAGGCCATGGGGAAGGGCAGGGTCCTTTGTATGCTCAGAGAGAACCAAGGGCTGCATATGGGGAAGTTGCATGGGAGGGAGGATAGCAGGATTCCAAGGAAGCTTTGCGAGATGGAGCCCTTCCCAGTCACCAACAGTGCAGCTCAGAAAACATGGCTGAAAACAGTGTACTTGACCTTCCCCCTGGAAATACTCTTCTCTTAGTCTGCTCCTGGAAAAACTGCCTCCTCCTGAGTAGCAAATTTAAGCTCATTGCTGTCTATGTACTCTGGGGACATGGTACTATGTGTACTTCTGAATCTACTCTGCCTTCTGTCTGTCTGTCTGTCTTCAGAAATATCCTTGCACTTGTTTGGGAGAGCTGAGAAGCATCTACAAACAAGGCGCCTTTGGGGAGGGTGACTACACCATTATTCCACCCCATGGAAAGCAATCAGCAACACAGTTATTCCGAGAACTATTATCTTTCACTTTTGTCAGTGTCCTGTCTTCAGGCCTTTACTTGTTCAGGGACTCCACTTCTCATCTTTCCTTTTCTCCTCATGGAGGCACAAGTTTAAATGAGTTCATGGTTATTGGGTGATGTTCCCTGGAGGCAGTTGTCTTGGGAAACATATCCTGAGGTAAGAAGAGAAGTCATTGATCTTCATTGGTTTGAAACTCTATGTGACTTTTTTTTTTTTATTACTATATTACCGGGATTTGAACTGACGTTTCTGTGCTTGTGGAGCCAGTGCTTTACCAATTGAGCCATGTCTCCAGACTGGCTTTTAGCTAGCGACTTTAGAGGTGTAATCTCTTGGACTTTTTTGTTTGGGCTGGATTCTAAACTTAATCCTCCAGATCTCATTTTCCTGAGGGGCTAGGATTAGAAGCCTGGGCCACTGGTGCCTGGCTCCCATGACGGCTTTTTATCAATGTATTCACAGTTCTTGGAGAGGGAGGCTCAGGACATCACCACGGTAAATGTCTGGGTTGTTTCGTATTTTTTTTTCCTTTTTTTTTCTGTCTTGAACTTGGGGCCTGGGTGCTGTCCCTGAGTTATTTTTGTTCAAAGGCTAGTAGCATTTTACCATTTTGAGCCAAGTGCCACTTTTGTTTTTTTTTTTTTTTGGTGACTAGTTGGAGATAAAGTGTTTTCATGGACTTTCCTGCCCAGGCAAGCTTTGAACTGTGATCCTCAGATCTCAGCCTCCTGAGTAGTTAGGATTACAGGCATGAGCCAGCTCCCCATATCTTGTAAATTCTGTGTCTTATAAAATCCAGCATACTCAACAAAAATGCATAGAGGGATAATCCTCAGGGTTCAGCTAGAGTCAAATCTTGGTGGAGAAGTCAGGGTCTCAGATTTTTACTCGACACACAGGGTGACCCCACCCAAAGCAGCAGGCTTCTCGGAATATTTACCTTTCTGGTCTCTTCTGAGGTATTGTTAAATGGAGGCCGTAACTTCTTATCACCACCTGTGATTTCTGTTGTTACCTTGTGGAGGAGATGCTGATGAACTTGATTCCCAGCTTACAGCAGTCTTTCCCTTTTCGGTTTCCATGTGCCAGTGACTGTCTCAATGTGGTTGGTTGTGACCTATGTTTTTTTATGCATGTTTTTGTTTCAGAATAACTGGGAGATGAAACAGGAAGCTCTATGACACACTTGAGCGAAAATGACACAGACACTGAAAAATCAGGACTCACACCCGCCCCCATCCAGTGCCTCTACCTGCTGCCCACTGATCACCCCCAGAAAGCAGCTGAAGGGTTTACCTGGCATTGGATTCCTGGGACCTGTTTGGTGGTGATAATTTTGCAATCTTTTTTCATGAATTCCCCCAGTTGATTCTCCATTTATCTGGTTAGTCTTTTGTATCCTAAATCCCTTCTCCTTCATTAAAAGGAAATTTAAAAGAATCTGACTTTTTTTTTGCTTATTACCTATATTTAAGTACCAAACTGTTTGTGGTGCAATTCTTCAAGGCCATAAGTAACATTATAACAACACCGGTTATAATGCACAACCATCATCAGACAACTTTGAAAGTGTTGAACTTGAATTTCTTATTACTGAGCCATGTTTGTGCTACCTCTTAGATTTCTCTAAGATCTCTCTACAGAGTCAACAATTGGCTGAGTGATGTTTGAGAACATTAAGATCCACATGCAAGTCTCTTCCACACCCACTGTGATTATTTGTAACTGATCAACTCCCAAGATCACCTCCAACCTTGAGCTTCAGTTGGAGACTGGTCTTCACTGCTTCCCACCCCGTATCATTCCTTCACTTATTTATCCCATAAAGATTTCTTTGGGACTTTCTATGTGCCAAGTTTTGGAGACAAGGCAGAGAATTGAATCAACTCTGCTTCACCTTTCCAGAGCCTCTAGCTTGTTTGTGAGTGGCCCTTCTTTACAGAGTCTCTAGGAGGGCTGGGCTGTTTATCATGGACATTTCATTTAAATGCTCAGATTCCCCAAATTCACTCTTTATACCTGAGACCCTGGAACTGGCACCTGAGTAGCCTCGGGACTGGTTGGATGGCCAGACACTCCTTCCTCAGAGTTCTACTCTCATTCTCAACCATGATCCTGGCCAAAGAGACCATTCATAGTGCCTTCCTGGTACCTTCGCTCAGTCTTCACTTTTGAGCTTAGTACATATCCAAGGTTAATTTTAAATGACCATGTGTATTGTTTTATGCCTCTCAGAATTAGGTTACCAATAGGTCATGTAATCACCATCAGGCCCCCATGTGAATAGCACAGAAGTATTGTAGGGCTGTCCCAGATCTCAGCCAAAATGCCCTTGACTTGAGATATCTCCCTGAACATCATGCCTGAGTTAACCCTTCTCATTATGATGTTATTATATTTTCTTCATAGTCCTTCCTGTGGGAACTTCCCAGCAGAAAAGATTGACTGTTGTTGTCTGGATAGCTAGGTATTCACTGAAACCAACCTTGGCCTTGTTCACCTCTGTCCTCAAGTCAAAGCTTATTTGCTTACACTATTGGAATATTAAAAAATTTTAGCTGGACACTAGTGGCTCACACCTGTAATCCTAGCTACTCAGGAGGCTGAGTAGCCCTGGCAGGAAAGTCTGTGAGACTCTTGGCTCCAATTAACTACCAGAAAACCAAAAGTGCCACTATGGCTCAAAGTGTGTTAGCTTTGAGTAGAAGACCTCAACACCCAGGTTCTGAGTTCAAGCCTCACGACCAACAACAAAAACCTTTTTGATTGTGGTGGGACATGTCCTCCATGGGGTGACTCTAGGTGCTCATTTCCTCAGCACAACATGAAGAAGGTCACCTGAAGGAGTTCCAAGATCCCATTCTACCCTGAGACTCTTCTATGCCTCTCTTAGCTCTATGTGAATTCCAGCAAAGGAAGGGGCAGTGTGGAGGTAACATAGGCAGCAGGGAAGGAGCAGCGGGAGTGCCTAGCCATGGGCTTCCAGATGTGCTCTGCAGGTGGTTCACACAGTCCAACCATCTCTCTAAACATAGCCCTTCCCTAGTGCAAAGGATTCCTACAGGCCTAGCTCTCCTGAGTGCCTGCATTCCTGAGCACAACCACATTCTCTACACAGCCCTGTCTTACCCTGTAGGGTTGTTTATAACCTCAAAAAGATAGCAGTCACTGGCTTGGGAAGAAGCAGAAATAACCCATGTAAGTATTCACTGAACAATCAGTTGACAACAGGAGTAAAAGCAAAAGAGAACAGACCACACACATCTAGATGGTTATGATAATAGTTCTAATGCTGGCCAGACATTAGAATTACTCAGAAGTTATACAAACTATACGTGATGCTCCTATCCAGACTGATCACATCAGCATTTAGGGGTAGAGAAGGAGAAGAGGCAGACATCATTACTTAAAAAAAAATCTCTCCAGGAAAATTTTAATGCATAGCCAAAGGTGGTCAATGTTGATCTAGGGTTCCACTGTCCAACATGTCACACATCTGCTAGAAAGGTCCTCTGAATACTAAAAAGTTGGCTCATGCAACCAAGGATTGGGACTTTTAATTCCTTTCTATTTCAATTTCAATATCATCAGGTGGGTTATGGCTACCATATTGAACAGATCAGAAAAGAACATGTGTATCATAAGCAGACAATATCACTGACAATTTTTATGGGTTCACAAGGCCTAGGGGAATCATGAGTTCTTAACTGCAAAGGGAAATCATGTGAAACCTAGAAGGAGGGAAAGGTAATGCTCTGTGTGTGTGTGCGTGAGAGAGAGAGAGAGAGAAAGACAGACAGACAGACAGACACAGAGAGAGACAGAGAGAGAAACTTTGCAAAGATGTGACCTCTGTTTGGAGCCTGCAATGAATTTTTTTTTAATCTACATTTTGGGCCAGGACATGCGTAGCAGTAAAGGAAACAGGTTTCTAAGCACCACACTGTAGGGACTGAAAGGATGAAAAATATCTGCTCAATCCAAAATCCAGACCTATATCATTCTGGTGGCTGTATTTGTCTCTTTAGAGACTCAGATCTGGAACTTTTATGTGATTGCTGTAACCCAAGGACCTCAGACAGGGGCAGGAAGACCTTTGAGAAAAGCAAAAATCCAGAAGTACCAGCTTTCAGAGGAGTGGGGGCTGTTGGAATGGGCTCAAGGAGGTGATTGCCCCACTCAACCCGTTCGGGGTTAGAGATGAAGAAGCCAACGCTGAATCATTTTCTGCTATCATTCAGAGACTGTCAGATTTTCTTTTCTTGTTGGAGGGAAAGCACCTGACGACAAAGAATAACACTACTTTGAATTTCAGAGCTTTCCCTTTTTCAAGGCACTTTACCATTTTGGACTTATTTTGTTTTTACAAAATAAGGTGGGGCCGGGCGCTGGTGGCTCACGCCTGTAATCCTAGCTACTCAGGAGGCTGAGATCTGAGGATCTCGGTTCAAAGCCAGCCCGGGCAGGAAAGACCGTGAGACTCCTATCTCCAATAAACCACCAGAAAACCGGAAGTGGCACTGTAGCTCAAGTGGTAGAGCGCCTGCCTTGAGCTGAA